GGGGGGGCAGGGCCGAGCACGCAGTCCGCTGCCGCCGCACCCCGTGCAGCGACCGGCAGGCCGCCCACCACAAGTCCTCCTCCTCCTCCTCCTCCTCCTCCTCCTCCTCCTCCTCCTCTTCCTCATCCTCCTCCTCCTCCTCCTCCTCCTGCTCCTCCCCCCCCTCGCCAGGTGGATAGACCTCCTACCTTGACACGTCGATTGGCGAATTGGCCGTTTTCGGTTCGCGAGAGGGCGTCGCAGCCGTCGTTTTTGCGGGTGCAGGTCCGTCGGTTTCGGTCCCAGGCCGTTTTCACTAAAGGGTGGTTTACTAAAGAGAGGTTTGTCCACCGCCGATATTTGCGTGCCGCCGAGGCGACGCCGGGTACGTGGGTTACAGGGTCAACTCGTCCGTTAAGCAGCACCATGCTTGGGGAGTTGGCGTCTACCACTTCTTCCGCGACCACCCCGTGGTGGTGAAGAGTGCGATCTCGACCCCCCCAGCCGTGCAGGACTCGTTCGTCTCCCCCTTGTCTGTGTACTTGAACGGCAAGGGAAGGGTGCAGCACGTGATCAACGACGACGGCGGGTCTACGTACACGCAGGAAGTAGCAGCCCATCATGTCAGCTGGTGGTGTGGCGACGAGGCGCCGGCGCCTGCGCCGCCGTCGCTGGCACCGGCGGCGCCCGCGCGGGCGTCGCCTGCGCCGTCGCGGCTGGCACCAGCGCCCGTCGCGAAACCGCAAAAGGCGAACTACTCCTGCCGCGTGGGCGAGGCTGTCTTATGTCCAGGGGCGCCGGGGGTGTACTGCGCCGGCAACCAGTGCTGTCCCCCAGCCGGGGCTGCCAGAGAGGGGGGTCAGGAGAAGGGGGTGTCGCACGTCGATGACCGGGCACAGTTGGGGCTTGGGGGGGCCATCGGATGCGACATCCCTCTCGTGGGATCCCTTGCGCGATGGGGTCCCACAGGGGTCAGGAACACGGGCCCGCTCAGTCCCAGAGATCCAACGTACTGAGTCCCAGAGATCCAACGTAGCGAAAAAATCAAGACGGAGTTTTTTTTTTTTTTTTTTTTTTTTTCATGTTTTTCAGCCTCGAGAGGCCCTCGCCAGGCCCCGGGACTGTCAGAAAACGATTCGGGAGGAAAAGCCGGGGGAACGGGCCGAGACTTCCGGGGACCCCGCATTGAAAAAATCACGACGTCGGACCTCGAGGGTTGTGGTTGTGGGTGGTCGGGGGGAGGTCGGCAAGTTGTCTCGGGGCGGATTCGTCCAGGCCCTGCTAAGCACGCCAGGTGCCGCTCTCGGCACAAGGGCGCGGCCTCGAATACACCTTAATTAAGCGATGCTTAAGAAAACTCAAATTTTCGGCCAGAGTTTCGATTATTCTTACTGTTTCAATGTAACTCCTAGGATTTGAATGGAAATTTTGGGTTTTTATTCAAGTTCTGAGACTATGTATTTCTTAACCCATGATTTCTTAAGCATTTCGCAGGGTGCAGGCCAGCTCCGTGAGTTGATGCTCCTCCATCCTCCCTCTGTCAAGCAGTGGCGAAGCGTCCAGGCTCGCTCACAGGGCCACCAAATAATGTTCGAAGAACTTTTAGTGGTTTGCACGCCGTGTTCTTAGAACATGTCTGGCTGAGACCGTCTTGGCTTAACACATCGGAATTATGTTCTCTACGAACATCTTTTTTGTTATTGGAACATGTCTAGGTTTTGAGAACATGTCGTAGTAGGCCTATAGGAATGCCGGGACGGTCGGTCCCTGCTCAACTCTGTGCGGAACTGAGGTTCTAAAGCCGTCCCCGCCAGCCGGTTCGACCCGACCCTCCCTCTTCCCCTTCCCCTCAGGGGCAACGTTAGGGGGGGATGGGCGCAGGGGGGATGCGTGGACCCCTAGCCACCCAGTCATCGCCGACAGGGGCCTGATGGCACACCCCGCCCGGGAACTTGGGGATGTGTTATCGGGGGCCCGATCCATCGGCGACGCATCGCCGATTACAGCTCTGATGCTTCCCTCCCGGAGCCAGTCCCTGCCCCCTGCTGATGCTCCGTCGCATCTTCCCTCCTCTATCGGGCAGCGAGATTTACATGCCCGCCGCAATTTCACATGCCCATCTTCCGAGGGAAAACACAGGAGACGTCACAAACGCAAGCTTTCGGAGCTCCGCGCGGAGTGGTTGGATCGGCGTTGTGACCCTCCTGACGCCGCCTCCGGCGCCGCCCCCCGCCCGGTCCGCGAGCCAGGGACGGGGTTCCGCCCCTGGCGCCCCCGATCTGAGCGCGATGTATCGCCGACTTCAGCTCGATGTTCCCCCTTGGGCGGGTCCCCACCCCTAACGCTTCCCCTCAGCCCCTGTCCCCTTCCCCGCCGCCTTCTCCTCGCTGGCAGCCCCGACCCCAGCGGGCACCACCTGCCCGTCGGCCGAGGCGGGCTACGCGGCCTGTTACCACCCTAAGGAGGCGGACTGCACGGGCCCGGCGAGTGCGCTCGTGTACATGTAGCCGCTGCTGTGGCGGCGCGCACGCGGGGCTTGCGTTAAATCGGGCGTGTCCCCCTACAGGGGGGTCTTCGACGGAAAATAAAGCATACCCCAGAAATAGTTAAAAAATAATCCAAAAATAGTCTGGGGACTGTTTGTGTAGCATGTTTGACCTTTTGGGGGTATGTTTGGGGCATTTTTTTGGTTAATAGTCCCCAGACTATTGCTTGACTATTTTTGAATATCCCCCCTGTGGAGGGGCAGGTCCGACATAAAAGGCTTGCGCGAGGGCGTCGGCCTTCCAGGAGGGCGGGGGGGCTTCTTCGAGTCCAGGGGCCCTCTCCGGAGGGCCCGGGGGCTGAGGGCTTCCTGCAAGCCAGGAGGGGACAAAAACAAGCAGACACAATGAATCGTCGATTCCCTAGAAAATATAGGAAAATATGGGAAGTGGGGGGGAAGACAGAAACCCAGAAAGTGTAGAAAATTATGGGGAATCCGGTTATTTGTGTGTATTTGTTTGTGTGTGCCAGGGCCCCTTCCAGGAGGGCGGGGGGGCTTTTGCGAGGGAGGGGCCGGGCCTGGGGGCTCCCGAGAGGGCTTCCTGCGAGCCAGGATGGCCCTCAGGAATCAAGTCGGGCCTGCCCCCCTACAGGGGGCTTTTCGACGAAAAACTAAAAACACTTGAGAACAACCCCAAAATGGTAAAACAAAAAAAATGCTAAAAAAATAGTCCCCGGACTATTTTTGGACTATTGTTGGATTATTCTTGGGGTATTCCTTATGTTTCTTTGAAAATCCCCATGTAGGGGGGCAGGCCCGACTTCATTCAAGAAGCCCCCTGCCTTCGCAGAAGCCCGCCAGGCGTCTCAGAAGGCCTCCCCCCATAGCGCCACCCCCTTGTGCGCGCCGCCAATTGGTGTGGCTGTTGTTGCCCCTAATCCTTCACTCTCCTCCTCCTCCTCCTCCTCCTCCTCCTCCTCCTCCTCCTCCCGTTCCTCCTCCTTTCCGTTCTCGCCCTCCGTTTTCTTCTCGTCTTCCTTGCTCCTTTCTCCTCCTCCCGATCGCCGTTCGCGGATCAGAGAGTCCGCAAGTTTCTATGCGGCCTTTCTCATGGGGTTGTTGCCGTACAGTCGGGGCGCTGAAGAAGGAGCCCCTTCCGTTGGGGAGGGGCTCGGTGTTCCTGGATTGTGTCGCAGCTTGCCCTAGACTATCCTGATGTTTCCGATGGGAAATGGAGGTTTCGCCTGTGGGAAAAGTCAAGGGAGAAAAAAACACCCAGACCGGACAATTGGCGTTTATTAAACGCCCTTGGGCGTTTACTAAACAGCCCTGCCCTGTTTGATTCCTTCTTTGGGTGTGTTTACTAAACGGCTTCGCGTGTCGGGGTGGTTATTATCGGGGTGGATTATTTGCCCTCTAGACAAGGGACAAGGGGCCTCGTTCCTGATTTGGGGTTCCTCAGGTCAACGCCTCGACGGTACTTTTGAAGGGTTTTGCACGGGGGCTCGAACGACAGCGTCCAGCCAGCGCAGCGGCCGGCCGCCTGCGGCGAGCCGATGTCACAAGGCAGTGAATTCTTGACGCGACGTATCAGGAGGGGAAGAAACACAGGAACGTATTGGAAAATATGGGAATGGGGGGGACGACGAAACCCAAGAACATATATGAAAGTATGGGGGAATCCTGAGATTTGCGTGTCATGCGGTGTGCGTGGTTCTATTGGGGATCCGTGGTGAGGATTCTGCTTGCTGCGTCGTTGTTGCTGTTGTTGCCGTTGTTGGTTGTGTTGTTGTTGCTGCTGCTGTTGTTGTTGTTGTTGTTGTTGTTGTTGTTGTTGTTGTTGAATGCTCATTTCTGAATAATTATTGTTGATCCCCCCGTCCGGTGCACATTGTTTTTTATTGAAGTGCCCTTCCCGGGGCTCGCACCTTGTTTTGTGTAAGGGAAAGTCTTGAGGGTCAAACTTATTGTTGGCCCCCGACTTACAACAACAACGGTTCCCGCCTGATACTTCCTGACAATTTATTGAAGAATCGCGCTCTCGCTTGGGATCCCCTTGCAATTTACCACCAGATTGCGGCTCCCGCTTGATACTTCCTTACAAATTATTGAAGAATCGCGCTCTCGCTTGGGACTTCCTCGCAACTTACCACCGAATCGCGGCTCCCGCCTGATACGTCTTCACAATTTATTCAGATGCCGCTCCTCGACACTCAGGAATCGCGCTCCCGCTAGATATTGCTTGGCGGTTCAAGCAGAATTTACGCTTCAACGACCCGCCCACTCGACCTGCCCGTCTGGGCCTGCCCGCCCGACCAGCCCGTTGGGGACTGCAGTCGCCGCTCGCTGTTTTTCGCCCGCCTTCGATGCCCCTGGCTGCCCGTACTGGTTCCGCGGTCGCCTTCGGTCGCTGCCCTTCGTGGCCCCGTTGCTGCCGTCAGTGGCCCCGTCGCTGCCCGTAGTGGCCCCGCATTATATGCCCTTCGTGGCCCCCGCTCGCAGTCGCCCGTCGTGGCCCCATCCGCATGCCCTTCGTAGCCCCGCTGTCGCCCTTTGTGGCCCCATTGCTGCCCTCAGTGGCCCCGCTGTCGCCCTTTCTGGCCCCATATTCGAATGCCTTTCGTGGCCCCCGCTCGCTCGCGCCCGTCGAGGTCCCATACGCATGCGTTTCGTTGCCTCGCTGTCGCCATTGGTGGCCCCCTCGCTGCCCTTCGTGGCCCACTTTCTGCGCTCAGTGGACCCGCTGTCGCCCTTTCTGGCCCCCCATATATGTATGCCCTTCGTGGCCCCCGCTCGTTCGCGCCCGTCGTGGCCCCATATACATGCCCTTCGTGGCCCCGCTGTCGCCTTTCGTGGCCCGCTCTCTGCCCTTCGTGGCCCCGTTTCTGCCCTCAGCGGCTCCGTCGCTGCCCTCTGCGGTCCCCTATACGTATGCCTTTCGGGGCCCCCGCTCGTTCGAGCCCGTCCTGGCCCGCGCCAACAACGGCTCCCGTGTATTAAGAAATCGCGCTATCGCTTTGGACTTCCTTGCAATTTACCACCGGATCGCAGCTCCCGCCTGATACTTCCCCACAGTTTATTGGAGAATCGCGCTCTCGCTGTGGACTTCCGCATTTCTCCGAAGTTATCCCCAGTCCCTCCTCCAGATTCCTTCGTGCGCCCCGCGCTCCTCCGCACTCCTCCCGGCTCCTCCTCTCCACTTTTTGCCGCTCCTCCTCCTGAGACCTTACTCATGTCCATTCCATCCCAATCCACTCCACATCCCTGCGCTCCTCTCGACACGGATTCAGTTCTCACTATCATCCTGCCCCAGTCTCCCAACATCCAGTTTTTTTCAGGGTTCCACGAACTTGGTGTCTGACACCAGTTCGCAGCTGTACGTCCCCCCGTGGGGGTATCCATGATTGTTTCTTTCAAGGGGGTGGTACGTGGCGCTGTTTATGGCGCGACCCATGGCGAAACTTATTAAACCTGTGTTGGAGTGGCTGGCGCAAGCCATGGCGCAAGCTGACTCGCCACTCTCAGCGTAAACCATCGTCCTCTCCCCTTCTTGCCCCTCCCCTCCCTCCGATCCCTTCGCCCTCATTCTCCCCCGTTAACTGTCACCCTTCGTTTTGGAGGGCTTCGCCAACCACGCGCGGCAAGGAATGAATCTATCCCCAAAAAAAGGGGGCACGATCGAAGACGAAGGGGGCGGGTATCCTGGGTATGGGATATGCATACTGGATGACACGCGAGCAGCTAAGAGCCAACCGTTTTAAAATGAATGTTGTTGTTGTTGCGGTTGTGGTTGTGGTTGCGGTTGTTGTTGCGGTTGTCGTTGTCGTTGTTGTTGTTGTTGTTGTTGTTGTTGTTGTTGTTGTTGGTGTTGTTGTTCAGTGTTGCTTTTCAAACAATTAATACTGTTGGACCCCTTACAGGCGCCTGGGCGCTTTCGCCATGGTGCCAGCTGCGTTGTCATCGAAAACGAAGCTCACTCTTCAGCGGTTTGGGGGGGCCGCCAAAAACCGACCCCCAACAACAACAGCAGCAACAACAACATCAACAACAACAACGCTCCCGTTCGAGATTTCTTCGTTTTTCAATCAGGGCCGGCGGTCTTGCTCGCCGCCGAAAGCAGCCGTCTCAACAAAACCAGCGCTCCCGCTCGAGACTTCTTCCCGTTTTTCCTTGGACAGGCGCGCTACTTTTTCTCTCATCGGCGCCGCCCCCCCAGCAGCAACCCGCTCGAGACTTCCCCCCTTTTTTACTCAAAGCGGTGCTCTTGCTCGCCGCCGACAGCCCCCGTCCCGACAAAACCAGCGCTCCTGCCCGAGACTTCCTGCCGTTTTACGCTGGGCTGGCGTCCTTTTCTCCTCCTCCTCCTCCTCCTCATCCTCCTCCTCCTCCTCCTCCTCCTCGTCCTCCTCCTCCTCCTCTTCCTCCTCCTCCTCCTCCTTCTCCTCCCCCTTCTCCTCCTCCTCCTCCTCCTCCTCCTCCTCCTCCTCCTCCTCCTCCTCCTCCAGGCGGCAATTGGGCTCGGGCCGTTGGGGCGCCCGATTTCCCCTTGCCCCCAGCCTCCCGCCCAGCGCTGGGGCGGAGGCGCAAGCAGGATCGCCGTGCGCCGCGATCCCTCCCCTGCCTGGCACAGGCGATTGCGGCGGCGGCGGGCCAGCGCCCGCCAGGTTTTGGCTGAGGCCGACGCCCGCCGTCTTCTTGCCCGTCACCACGGCGATCATCCAGCTGGTGGCGTCATGGGCTCTCTCGGCGAGTCCGTCTGGACGTGCAAGGCCACGAAGGTCTGCGGCTTCAAGACGAACTACCCGTCTCGGTCGACTTGCTGGGGATGCGGTCGAGATCGAGACGGCCGCCCTACCTCAGACAACGGGCAACAGCAAGCCCCTCCGCGGCGTCCCAGTCGGCAGCCATCTCGCACGCGCGGTCCTCCTGCTGTCCGTGGCGCTCCGTGGCGTGATGACTCGGCCATGGATGACAGCAGCAAGCCAGCAGCACCGCAGCCATCCTCGGAAGTGGTCAAGTGCAAGAAGGCCCTTGCT